CACATGTTCCCAGCTTTTAGCTGCACTTCCATCACACATGAGTAAAGAATAAAGGCTCATTTTGTTATTTTACCATTCTGGTTACTTTTTCTTACAAGAGTACAGAGCAGAAGTGTAGCACACATGAACGGATAGCAGGCACTGCTGGGTGGTCCGTCTTACCCCACGTTTTTTCTTGTCTGAGTTTTTGACATGTCCCTCTTTAAGAGCATCCACCACCTAGATGTCCTTAAGTTGAAATTTAGTCTTTACACATGTCAACAGAGGAAGGATTGAGCATTCCGAAGACTATAAATAATATGAATTACGAGAGCAGTGTAGCAAGATATGCGGCCTCAAACCTTAGCTGGTCCGTCTTACCCCACCTTCCCCTACATTTCTCACCATTTGCCGGCCCATATTTCATTCATTATTTGTGGATAACGTTTTCAGTGGCTTCTGTCATTGTCTCGTGCATTCAATGTATCTGGGCCATCTCTCGATACGCTCCTCCGGTCCTGCTGCGCTGACCTCTGAGCGGGAGTCCAGTGACCATTCCACGCTGACGACCCATCCCGTCTGCCGTTTTCAGGGCGGCTATTCCGACTCACAACCGGGGATGGGCTACTAACGGCGCGTCGTCAGCCCACCGAGGTGAGTGTCGACAACGATGCATCAGTACCGACGGTGATGGCGGCGACAATGGTTAGGGACGTGCGGGGTGGGTGGGGTCAGTGTCCTTAGCACTCTCTGGTGAATCAAACAGTTTGTCTACTTTAAACCGCCGTTGCCGTCGTCACCACTGTCACTGTCTCCGCCTGGCCATGCGTCGTGTTTGTGGCTCGTCCGTCAGCGTGCCGCTCGTACGTTGCGGCGCAGCGTATTTACGCCGGCCGGGTGAGGCCGTTCGTCTTCTCAGCTCCATCTGATAGCGTCGGCCTTAGCGGCTCGTGAGGGCAGGTGGGGAGGCGACGCGATCGGTGATACTATCAGCGCTGTCCCCGGCCCGACCGAAACGGATAGCCCGGGCGGACGGGGTGTCGGGTTTGGTAAAAACATGAACGGGACATGGCGTCGAGAGATCAAGAGGTTTGTGAGATGGAAGGGACGCACCCAGGATGTAACGGGGCGATGAAGAATGCCGGTGACTGATCAGGGTGTAACACACCCTGCTCGGGCCAAATTGCAATTATGGCTCGGCATTTAGGGACAGAAATGGAACCGTGCTGTCCGTGTGTTTCGCCGTCTGGCGCTCGATGCGCCCATTCGGTATGCCTGGCCGGCGGGCGGGCCAGCGGTCGGATCGCCGTCGCTTCGTCCGTCCCGGGATCGGGCCGACGCCGACCGCTGCATTTAAACAGCCCCATCAGCGCGGCGACCGGCCGACCGGCCCACAGCCCATCACCGGCCGACCGGCCGGCCAGACGGCGCGCGATGGCAGACGTCGCTCCCTCGCCGTCCGCTCTAGGGGTGGAGAGTCGGCGTCTGAGACGATCGGTTGGGATGACGGCGTGTGATGGCTGATGCGAGCCCTCAAGTCGATATTTGGCGCAGTTTGGGTGAAACTTGACTGAGGTGATGCTGGTCCTCATTGGTCCGATCGAAACCAGACTCATTTCTTCCTCGAGCCAAATATTTTGTAGGAACTGCCCACGTGTATCATCCGTGACCGTGAATGACGTCCTACTTCAAGCACATTACTACCAGGATACATGTGTTGGAGCCTGCTCAGACATGCGGCCAATCACCTCTCAGTCTGTCTGCACACTGTGCACTCGGCTGTCTGCATACTGTGCACTGTGCCGTGGCTGGCTGCTCTCACCGCCTGCAACCACAGACTCTGTGCTCCTCTCTTCCCACATACTAACTGCCGGTACTTACATACGCGGCAGCATGGGATTCTCTTCCGGCATCGATATTCATCGCATCAGCGTGTGATACCCATGCGACACAGCGTGACAGTTCGTGTCGGCCGTGACGGCCGTGACAGCCGTTATCACTGTCTCAACGCCTGCCGGCGAGACGGCAGTGGGCACCGTCCCGTCAGAGCCGCGCCCCCGATTCGCGTCTGCGCCGGACGTGTGCGTCCTCAGCTCGTTAATCATCGACGGCGGGTCGGTACATCATCGTACGGTGTCGGAACGCGACGTGCCGACGGCCGCCGAGCGGCGATGACGCCTCGCCGAGGATGACGGACGGGCGGTGACGCCGCCGACGGGCGGTGACGGCCGGTTAGAGGTCGGTGACGCTGTCCGTGGTGAGGTGACAGTGAAGACCGATGGCGAAGACAGGGAATGGGTGGTGACGGTTGGTGACACTGGGCGATGAGTTATTGCGGTAGCCGGTGTAGTTGTGCACTATATTGATGAATGCCGCCACACGCTTGGAACGGCATTTATAAACTAAATTACTCCGAAATTTTACATGTTCATAAGAAACATGTTTTCCAAAAACCACTGAAGACACCAAAACTTTCGATTCATCCGGCGAACAGCATCACCAAGTCACGACCTTACGAGCTGTTTTCGGTAAGCTGCAGCCACCCCGTCAGTCCCCGACCTGTAACGGGTGTGCTCAAACCAGCCCCATCCATCTCCAATCTCCCCTGGCACGGTACGATCTGCCCGCACAGGCCGGCCACCACGCGGCCGGTCGGGCCGCGCCGCCGGCGGCCGGCCAGGTAGGCGTTCATTACCGGCCGAGCGGCGGGCGCGGCGGGGTGCCGGCCCGGCCACGGGGAGCCGGCCGTAAATTAGACGCCGAGCGCGATGGCGGCCGACGGCAACGGGCGGGGAGAGGGGAGGGTGACGGCCGAGGGACCAAACACCGCGCGGCGGCGCCGGAGCAGGGTCGGGCCGATCGCCGCGCCGCCCGACAGCTCGGACGCCGACTTCTCGGCGCAACCCGCTCGGCCGGCCGGACGGCGATGCGGCGAGAACAATCGGCTTTTGTGCGCCATTGTCCCGCTTTCAATTTCCAGATGGCGGCGGCGAAATTTCTCCGGTCGGCGCTATTGTTTGTTGTCGGCGGAGCGCTGAGAGACGCTCGCCTCCCGGACGGTCCCGGCGGGCGGCCGACGGCTGAAACAAGCCGACGATCGACGCCAAATGCCGCGAAAACGGCAGACAAAGCTGATCCCGACCGACTCGGTGAAAAATGCGGCAATCACGAGCGCTCTATACCAGTCGCTGTGGAGTGTTACGAACACGGCTTGACCTGATGTAGTGGCCGTGTGAATGACTGGGACAGTTTGTCTCTGGGAGGACCGTCGTGAAGTGGTATACTTGAGATGCCTTTGTGTTCAGATTCCCTGCTCCACTGACCGGTGGTTTCTGTTGCAGAGTCTGACAGCGGCGTGATCGTCCGGTGGAAGACGCGGTGACCTGAGGCTGCTCTGAATCCGCAGCCCGCCGAGGGTCGCCGTGACCGGCCGCCGGGGTCGCGCTCTTCTCGCTCGTGGTGAACGCTCCCCGTGCCGTGCCGCGTGTTCTCCCCGGTCTGACAGACTGCTGGACAGTCCGGACTGAGTCAGCCGGTGGGAGGCACGGCCGGTCGGCAGGGGCAGCCCCACGACTCGGACAGCCAGGCCCGCGGACAGTGGAGTCTGCCAGCCGACCGGGCGGCGCCCGGCGAACCGGCGGTGAACTGTGCACCCCGGAAGGGTCAGTCAGCGAACTGTGAGGGCCTCCGTGGCCCGATGGGTGGACCGTGAACTCCAGTTGGGTGGCCAGTGATCGGGGGACACGCGGGTCGAACTGAGCGGGCCGGCGTCCCGCGTCATCAGTGACCTGATCAGTGACAGTGCTGGACGGACCGCCGAGCTCCCACCGTCGGAGGTTCCTCCCCAGACTCGGCCGGGGCCGAACAGCCGCCGATCACACCGCTCTTCATTTGTAATGCCCTGCTGCGCCGGCGTGGCTCAGTTCCGTTGCGCTGTTTGCTCGTGTGGCCAGCCGGCAGTTCGCTCTCATGCATGGATATTACGTTTCGGCGGTGCCGCGCGCGCCGTACGGCCCGGGCCCGGAGCCGGGCCGCGGCGGCGCCGACCGCCGGGGCGCGGCCGCGGCCGAGAGGTTTTGTTCAAATTGTGATTTTCCGGGAGCGGCGATCCCTCCCGGGAGCTGTTACGTTCTCGGCTCTGCCGCCCCGGTTTTGTATCGTGTATACTCATTATGTACCGTATTGTACGTGCCCCAATAAATGTGTCCACGTTTTGTACAAACGTACATAGCAACCTCACATCTGAGGGCCCCCGTGCTGCGTATGAAAGTGACTGTGTTGTGAATGTGTGCTGAGAAGTAGAAAGAAAGTATTCTCAATGCTTGCAAAGTGTTCTGTCATGCTGCGAGGTGCGGAACGGAGGTGTGAACATGTGTCACTCGTTTGCCATCAGGCGACGTCAATGACCGGTGCAACTCGGAACTCCCATACCACCACGCTGCTCATTGAGCGCTGTCTGCAGCCTGCAGGTCCATCCGAGAGGTGTTCAGTGCTATCCCCAATCTCACACAACCATTTGTGCATTAGTTATCCTTTTGAAACACCAGGCCGCTATCGTTTCGCCGCTGAAGCCGGCCATTTCAAACGGCCCGATCGTTGAAGCGATTGAGAGCGAAGCGAGCCCAAGCGTTCGATAGGAGACGCCCGGTGGCGTCGCGTCGGCCAAAACAACCGAAAACTCCATTATCTAAAAGCGGAAGCGGCGACAAAAAGTCGGATATTGCCGCAGCGATGGAGGCGTCGTGACGACGGGCTCGCAGCTGGGCCCATTTCGACGCGGCTGGTGCGTATCGTTCGCCAAAACTGTGCCTTTAGGGCCACGGGCGAAGGGAAGTAGACGGGCGCAGGACAATGGGGGCGACACTTTTAAGACTGACAGTGACACTGGGCGTGAATTTTGTGTTTTTATTTGCGATCAGCCGGCGGATAGCTGGAGTTTCAGTCGTTAAACAATCACTCTAACTTCATCGAAAGCTTAACGTCGACAGTTGCCTGCCCGTTTCAAGTGAAATAATGTTCAGTTTCATGGAAACATTGTGTATTTCCTCTCCACTTGCATGACAAAGGGCCACTCTGCACACAGCGATACGATGCACTTTGATACTAAAGTATGCGAAGTTATTTCTTTACAATGGTTATTAAAGCCAACCGACGCCCTTTAATATCGGTTTACGAGCGACTCAGACATTCAGACGGGCAAGGCAGTGAGTGGTACGCCACTCTTTAGCATGTTGTACTAGGAATCAACTGCACTTTTCCAATGAATCATAACGGCGGAAACACAACCTCAATAATTCTGATAGAGTGCGAGTCACCATTTGAGGTGAACATGGAATATGTCTTGCCTGTCTTTACGCTCGTTAAACGCTCAAAGCTCACAGTACAATTTGCCAAGTGGCGAATGCATAAAACACTGAAAGGCCAATTGCTGCAATAACCCACCCAAACGTAATACGAAATGGCGCGTTACTGACTCAAACGGTGGGTTACTGGTTTCCATACAGCTCCGGGCTTGATCCAATATGTGGTGCATTGAAGTGACTATGAAAAATATCGTAAAATAGGGCGAGAGATGGAATTCATTTCAAGTGGAGGCAATACACGGGAGGAAAGTACCATTTCTTTCCACCAGACACACCATTCACATATCACAGGCATCACGTGAGAGATCCTTAACCATTGGGATTGTGTCTCCACTGTGTAACAATACCGACATTGTGCGTCGGATTTGAGTCAACTTATGCCCACGGATGGCACCAGTCACAATGTCACTTATAACTCCAATGGAGCCAAACGGCTATGTAGCGCGATGCTTCTCGAGGCGCTAATGGCCAGCAAAAATACGAACACTAAATGATTAAACGAACAAGGCAGCAGTCGAAGATTCATGGACGAGTCTTGGACTATCCAATGGGAGAAGCCACTTGGGTGTCCACTCAATGACTGAGAGTGTGTACAGACAAATCTGACAACTTCTGAAATGGTCCGATATTAAATGGTCCCATCTTTAAACATAACGACGCAAACTCGTCTCTCGCACGGCACCAGGCCCGTAACTGTGGTCAGTGTCATCTATCGACTGCCATTCGCAACTATAGTACGTGGTTTCTCCGCCAGGGGCCTCTGTGCTATACACAGCGCAGCAACTCGTGGTGGACAGTGGTCGACGCGAGACCGCGTGATGAGAAACGACGGCTCAAAGTCCTCCTCCGGTAGACCAGAGTCTGAAAGAGATGAACGGACTTAAATGCGCCACCCTGCCACCAAAGTCATATCAATGGACAACCCACCTGCAGCAACCGTCCAAGAGACCAGAAATCGATGCTGGCCCGAGACAATTTCTCTGCATAGATCGTCCAAAGAAGTTTTCTCTCAAAGGAGTTTTTCTCAGGACAAACCCATCCACATCCCCTCACGCTTCCCTTTCCGGGCTAGCGATCACCCCCACCAGACAACCGGTGGTTGATGTCGGGTCCACAATGGGATCCGTTTAAATCCTCTCCGGGGTGACCGTTTAGGGAAGCGAGCGGACTGTCCCAACGAGGCAATCCGGTCCCACCGCCGCTGCGGATCAATGTCGATGGCTTGCACACCCCAATGTCAATCCTATCCTAACATCCTGATAGTGCAATGGCCCTTTTAGGCCGAAATAGCCAGCTCCCAACAAAACAGGAAAATCAAACCCTGACGTCCGACGAATTCGGCCGACCGATCCGTAATTTTTTCTCTCTTCGCGGCTCTCTTTCCGGTCCTCCCTCCTTCCCTCTCCCCGCCCACCTACCGGGCAGCCAGCTGAACGACCCCAGTTTGTGCGAGCAGCGCGGGCAGCTGAGGCGTCCCCGCGGCTGGCAGAGCGCGGTAGTCATCCAGGGTAGCGGCAGCAGGCGGATGCAGCCGGCGGTCACACCAGGCTGAGGACGGAGCGGAGTGGGGTTAGGGAGGGGCAATCAGGGACTCGGGCAGTACAGGCTGCTATTGAGTTTGGCAACTCAAGTGGTCACAAGCATGGGTGGAGAACCTGCCCCGGCCACCCCGGCCGTGGCCGGGGTAACTTTCAGCCTACCCCGGCGCGGCCGGGGTAACTTTTCCACTCTTGTAAATCCTTAAAGCTGTCGCCACACGAGAAAAGAAAACTGTCGTTTTTCGGATGTTGACTGCCATGGGCGTAATACTGCAAATCAGGAAGGTATTTACAGTATTTACACTATATATCTAGGTACTCAACTTACCATGCGGTGCCGTTGAGCCCTAGGACCCGCGTGTGGTTGCCTGCAAGATTGCTCTCAAATCGTGTTCAGTTTCGAAAATTTGGCGCGCCTTCGGCGCACTTTTTTTAGAACCACTGCTTGACCTCACTGCCTCCGACTGGCCTGCCACAAACCGCAACCATATACCGTCAGGGCGTAGCCGTCAGGATGCTCATTGCTCATACACCGAGCGTCCGTCAAGCTTCAAGCTCGGACTGTTGTAACCGGAACGCGTGCTCTCGCCACCCAGAGTCCAACGCTCAAGCGATTGAGCTACGAGACCGGGACTGGTCGATATCCCGGTCGATATCCCTGAATAGACTCCCTGTTTGTCTTATAAGAGGTTGAGCCACCCAACATTGAAAAAGACTGTGTCCCTGGATGTCAGTGACCCATTTTAGTGCTTTGGTTCGAACGTTCAATTTTCTCTGTAAAGCTCCTACGAGGTGAGCTGTCACCTTTTTGTAGCTATTTTGAGACACAATAAAAAGCTGAAAACGCAACATTTACTCATGACTCATGATAGGTATGGTTTGGATATGTTGTAAAATTGCATAAGTTTAAGTAAAAAAAAATCACTTAAAAGAAAATCGCCTTTTCAATCATCGCCAACAATGTTATGAATGATACAATGTCGGATACAACGCTCACCCTTGAACAAACACAACGTCCATTATTCCATTTCCATGGGTCAGAATAGGGGTTTGTTTATGATGATCGTTGACAACAGCGTGAGCATAGTCGTCTTTCCGACTATCGGTCGCCGGCCGGGGTAACTTTTTCAAACATTCTCCACCCATGGTCACAAGGTGTAATGATTCAAGTGAATGTAAAATTGTAATTGTGCGAGTGCTCAATAACCACACAAGTAGTAATTGGGCTAAGATACAATCGAACAAACAACTGCTGATGAACACACAATGGCAGAGTAACTCGAAGTACAATTGCCCCTCAGACTTTATCGTTAGTTCCACTTTTTCATCAATACTAATGACACCCGAGCCGAAACCACACAGACGTAACAGCGCTTCTCAGTCTAACTCCTCAGCTGCACCCACAGTCTACCCACATCACCCCTATCTTACCATCCCTTCACCATCCTCACCGCCTTTTCCTGCTCCTTGATGACTGAGTGCTCGGAGAACAGGGCCGTGCGGCACTGTCGGCACCTGTAGACGGCCGCCGGGGGACCGGCCGCGCCCGGGAGGCCGGCGTCAGCCACCAGCAGCGGTTCAGACAGCGTCGTCAGGCGGGACAGGTCTGACGGTGCAGGTGGGGGATGGTCAGACACCGGCCGTGGTGGCCGTGGTGGCGGTGGGAGTGAGGAGTGGGGGTTGAAAATGGGAGCATGCTGCAGATAATAATTTATAGATCGAACGTAGGATTTCACTCCATGCGATGCATTGTGCGATTGACGGCAAAACCGAGACTCATGAGTCATGGGCATAAGAAAACTACCAGCCTACACTTTGGACCGACATGAAACGCACAAAGTCTCGGTATAGTTAAGCTCCGAACTGTTGTTTCTCTGTCCTACTACTTCGTTCCAGTTGACTCACCCATTCCGGCGGCCTGCGCTGCGGCACGGAGTCTGTACCGACGGAACTCTGGCTGCTCGAGGGATGTGCGATACCCGAGTCGTTCGTACAGCTCCAGTTGTCGACGGAAGCCCGCGTTGGGGCTCACACAGGGCCGACACTGGCGCAGTCTGGTGGCGGAGGGGAGAGTCAGTGATAATGGCGTACCCTGACGGCGCGGTGGAGAGGACAACTGACGACAACTGATGGAATGATTGGAAATGTTGGAAATGCAATCTGCAGCGTCTGGAGGAGAGGAATACAGCGATTCATCACAGATGTTAGATTCGATAATACTCTAAGAGGTTAGGTAATGTGACACTGCACTGCGTTGGAAATGATTGGAAATGTTGGAAATGCAATCTGCAGCGTCCGGAGGAGAGGAATACAGCGATTCATCACAGATGTTAGATTCGATAATCCGCCGTTCAGTAACACCAGCCCTACTGACCTCTGTACGGCGTCGTCGGCAGAGATCCCGTGTTTGGCCATCAGGTAGGCGGCGCAGCCAGTGGCGCTTCGGGAGACGCCGTGCCGACTGCCGAATACAGCAAGGGGGCTGAGTCAGTGAACTGAGACAAACACACACACTGGGGAATTAAATCGTTAGCATCGGTGTTTGAATAAAATGGCAGCTAGCAGTACGGATTGAGTTTACATCAGCCACGAGACGAGGAAGAATGTAATTGACAACCGCATGCTGCCTGAGTCACTTACCAGTGCACATATACAGCACCTGCCAGCAGTCCAGTCTTGATGAACGACACTATGTCGTCAAAATGAGAGAGAAGATCAGCTGTTACTAAGTCATCCACTGAAAGGAAAAGAATCTCACCTTATATCAACACAATTCATGATGACCCAAATCAAATGTTATTAGTGGCAAAGCTAGCAAAAGGAACTGAAAATGTTTCTTGAATCATCACTCGCATCGCATATGGACAATTTTATCAAATAAAAAATGACTGAAGCAAAAAATGATATAACTAACATCAACAACAACAACTAAACTATTTCACAATTTGAAGCAAAAAGTTATTTCGCTTTTAGTCAGCATCAGCCGGAGCGCATCACGCTAGTGATAATAATTGATGACAGCAACTTTGGTAATCAAACACACACACTAACCTTGTATAAATTTATGCTCCGACACGCCGGAAGGAACCTGAGACAAATCATCGCTCTCGATGGTCAGCACCTTCACAGTCGAACTGGTGTGGGAGAGCAGAAAATCTTGCAGTCCCCTTCTGCTACCTGGAAGCGAATGATACACCAGTCAGCCCACACCACTGTGGAAGTGTACTCGGTGGGAGGACGATATCACTCGGTCACTCTACAGTTATCATTTTCATAACTAAGAATATGAACCTTCGGACAAAGTCCGAACAGCCCGTAAAAGGTCATGTTGCACACAAATTGATTTGAATTGTAGTTGGCACAGTTGAATGAACATCTCTATTCTCTAAGGTGGTTTGACTGACTGCTGGGCATTAGTTGCACCTTGCCCATTGCCTAAGGAAAGAGATGTCACAATTCTGAAAATATTTTGTGGTTTTAGCACCTTTACTCAACGCAGCACGCATTTGCACTTTCCGCCATCGCTATAAAATAATGAGGATACTGACGAGCTTCGAGCAGGATCGTCGTAAAATAGCGGCATTAGAGACGATTATCAAACATGACATAAGTTGAGATGAACAATAATTCGAAACTACTTTTGCGTACAAAGGCCTTGGTCCTTGGCAACCCCTTTGATCTAAATTACCGGAGATTTAGGGGCAGGAAAACACGCATAATAAACGGATTATCTTTAGCGCATTTTGTACTAACATTGCAATCCATTTGTAACACGTAATTTACTCATCTCTTTGGTATTTAAAACGATATCAAGTCGCACAACCATACCTAAAAACAGGCCATCCTCCACAGGATCAAAGTCCATGGCAGACGAAAATCTGACCAATTTCTTCCACCGCTATGACAAACATAGCAACCCTAGTCCGTACATTTAAACACAGCTTGGAAGAGAAATCCCTGTAAATACAAGGCACCATGTTAGGTCGCACTGCACGTCAATACCGTGTTGAACATTCTGCTGTATTAAACAGAGCACACAAACACATAAGCAAAAGATTTTACGGACCATTCATCGAGTCAAGATATGAGTCAAGTCCTAATGGTTGAGTGAATAGCTATGAGCTCAGATACTGATTTTCACCAGCTTCGTACTTCATAGTATCTAAAAGTTCAGTTGACACCCATATCTACTTGGCACTGGCCATTGCGCAAAACATATGAGGGTCTACGTAAGCCGAGGTACCTAGTCTGCGGCGGAAGTTGACCGCTACAATCACAGTGCATAGCCGCCTGCATCGCAACGATGGTAGTCGCAGGGTTTTCAGTTTATTTCATTACAGCCAAACCCAAAGTTGCAATTCAATTGTTGCAATTTTGCAAAGTTGCAATTGGCCAAAAGTAGAGATAATGGAGAACAGAGGGTCATCAGCGCAGCCTGATGGTGCACCCGATATGTGGAACTGAATGAAGGATAAGAAGAGAAGAAGAAGATCTGGTTCCATGATAAAGCACCATGCATTTGATGAATAAAATACAGCTACCTAATTCTCAAAGTAAATGGTCAAACTTAACATGTAAGTTGTAACTACTTTCCTCACTGCCACCATGGCTGAAGGACAAGTTTGGCAGCCGTGTCATCAGCCCTGGGCTGATAAACTGACATGGCTGCCTCGCAAGGCCACCAACGCCCAGACTGGAAAACATCCATGCACTACGCCGGACGCCCGTGAGGCCGACATTCGGCGCAAGCAATTTTGCGCTCAAATTTCTGCATGACTTGCGTTTAAAATTGGGTGCCTATTTGTGCGAAAATTAGGCCACTTTTATATAAAGCACATGTGCACATCTACAAACACCGATCAAGGCTATATCAATCAACCAGGCAGAGAGGTCCGGGGCCTTGGACGCCAGGGCATATTTTAAGGATTTTTTACTGCGTCCCAAAGGTCGCATAGGGCACATGCTTTGATCGGAAAGGGCACATTGCAAGCGAAATAGTAAATAATGCAAGTGTGAGATAATGTACAGATACATGTGTCATTGTGTACTTGTGCTGTTGGAGGGGCAGCAAGCGGGATATTCGGAGCGGGCTGTGATTGCTTTTGGCCAGTCTCGAAATTCGCCCATTCGTGGCGCGTTCTTTATCCGCATTCAAAAGACGGACCGGCGATTGAATGACATTTCCGTTGCTGTTAGTCGTTCCTTTTCCTGAACGGCGTTGGGCGTGTTTGACCTCCTTTGACGCACCTAAATGTACCTATGTTTAGAGAATAAAAATGAATATGCACAATGCACATGATTAAAATGATACATACCTACGCCTCTTCACGCGTTTTTTTCGCCCCTATCAAATGAATCAAAATAGAGCTTGACGTGTGAAATATTGCCAATCGCATTGAAGATATGATGATTTAAGGTCAAAAAGTATACCCACTTAAGTTGTGACAAGGAATCATCGGATTTTAACCCGCGAGTTGCTGGGGGGGGGGGGGCGTTAAACGCCCCTACTTTTTTCGCCGCGCTATAGCATAAAAACGGCGCGCCGCAGGTGCGCCAAATTTTAGATACCTGTAGGGAATTGATTGAAGTTTGTTGTGACAAAGTTTCAAAAAAAAAAAATCGGTCGAAAATTTTTTGAGATATCGAGGTTTTAGTGACGTCATGATTTCTGAGTTTTCGACCAAAAACAGCATATGTTCAAAAAATCATATAAAATCACAGAATAGACATACAGACATGCGGTAAACGCCATTAGACTGTCAATACTATGCACAATAAAATGGCTATCTTCGATTTTTGATTATCGTTCCACATTTTCAAAAATCTTGAACTGAATCTTGGCAATTTCTCGTGACTACTTCACGACCATGATACATGCATTTCTTAAATTGAACTTTTTGAACCAAACACGTACACATATGACAAAATGAATGTCACCATCGTGTTCTACACCCAAAATTACCCCTTAAACATGTGTCATAGACTGCGAATACCAGTTTTGATATTCGGGGATATGTGCCTACCTGACTGACCTGACCTTGACCCTGACCTATGTTTGAATGACCCCTACATGTATCTGACACTCTTGTGGTCTTATATGAAGGGTTGTGCACCGTTTTGACAGAGTTTATGACGAGAGGTGCCTATCGCGAGGTTCTGAAGTCCTGCTACTGAAAGCCCGATTTCAGGTGTTTGACCTGACCTTGACCCGACCTGTGACCTCAAAATTCAACTTCAAAGTACTCATCTAAAGCGTCTCGTCGCGTTCTTTCGTTTGCCGCCTCGTGCGTTTCGCTACGCCTATTGGTTCTCGAGCTATCGGCTGGGGGCGTTTAACGCCCCCCCCCCCCCCCCAGCAAACGGCGGGTGGTGAAATACCCCAGCAACTGCCGGGTTAAAGCTATTTTAACAAATCCATCCATAAACGAATGCTTTGGATGCTTCGGATTTCGTTTCCTTAACCCGCGACCTGGTGGGGGGGGGGCTATTTTTTGCCCCCCTTCCCTCCAGACTTTTCGAGATATCTCCAGAACTGCTGCGCCGATCGTCACCAAACTTTCAGTACCCTCCCGGACATCAATTTTACACATTGTGACCAAAATTTTTTTTTTCCAAAGGCTATGATAGGTTGGCCGGAAATGACGTCAGAGTGACGTCATGTTCTGCCGTTTTCGACCCAAAAAAGGGTTTCGCGGGAAGAGCTGTCAGGCCTATAGCTTTGCAAATACAGAAAAATGATAAAGACATAAAAGCTGTAGAATCGACAGGGCTACAAAACTGCTATCTCAGATTTTTTAATTTTTGGATTTTGACCCCCAAAAATCAAAAAATAATTTTTTTGGATATAATGTTCGAAAAACCCAAAAAGTTTTTTGAATTTCGCAAAAACCGGAATATATGTGATAGTCCTTACCACCTTCCATCCACATACCAAATTTGAGATTGATACCTCTTTTTTTGGCGAAGTTATAGCGAAAAAACTGTTCAAAATTGATGACGTCAAATTTTCAAACTCAATTTTTAGCAATTCTAGACCCCGTAGCGCAAAACAAAGACCACCATTAGACTCCCCGTGACGAGCTGCATCGAATCAATACCCATTTTATGCAAAACTATCAACTTTAAAATTTGACCTTTTTTGGCCTGACCTTGACCTGACCTTGACCTGAACTTTACCAGAAAGTGACCTAAGCCGTACCTGATAGTCTTGTAACCAGCACCATTGAGTTGGAAATGAAAAATTGGCCATAAAACATGCATCACACAACCTTTGTAAAGTTGGGCTCATGTGACCTGACCTGTGACCCTTGGTGACCTGACCTGTGACCTGACCTGGTATTGTCAGTGACCTCTAATAGCAACATATCTACTAGGCAACTGACGCCCTATCGCTGATTCTCGACAAAATGCGTTTTCCTCGGTGTTATAGCGCATTCCCTAGAAGACCCGTGAACGGTGAAACATTTAATCTTTGACCTGACCTGTGACGTCATCGGTGACCCCGAGGTCAATGAAATTTGGTTTCCCTCGACAAATTTGACAGGCCTTTCGAACGCCGTTTGAATTTTGCGGATCCGTCCAGTAGTTTCGGAGATACGAGGGGGGGGGGGCAAAAAATAGCCCCCCCCCCCCCCCACCAGGTCGCGCTATAAACAGACCCCACCAGGGCGCGGGTTAATGCCTACAATGCAATATAAACCAAACTTTTCTAAATAAAAGTTCCTTTGTTTTCTTGTTATGTCCATGGAAATATGTCGATTTTGTGTTATTTTCGGGCGCTTTGGGGGCCATGGCCCTGTGCCCTCCCTTCTGGATCCGCCTATGGCCAGACGGCCATGACGGCACTGATCTGACCGTATGCCACTATCAAGTAATCGGGAAGGCAACATCTGTTACACAGTAAAAGACCGAGGCATGTTATTTATTTTTGCTCGCACTTTTTTGCTGAAACCATGGCATTTCAGTGTGGGACGCAGTGGTCCAAATTTCGCGAGGGCTACGTCCCAAAGGCAGGAGGCTGCGTCCCAAAATGGGACGCAGTCAGTATGTTAAAATATGCCCTGTAATGGACGCCCTCCCGTGTTTGAGCGTCCGAATAAGTTTTTTTTTTTCCACTAAAACCCAATACCTTAATATGCTTAGCGCACTGTAGCGTCGTGCCGTGAAACAAGGCCAGAGCCGGAAGTTCCGGGGCCGCAAAAATCGGCGGAGCGGTGTGTTCGAGGCTGGCGGGCGCCAGCAGAGAAGCACGTGCTCCGGCACATCAGCCTTTTCTCGGCACACGTCACAGAGCGCCGCGGGGCACCGCTTATCTGGGCACTGCTAGCACGCCACGGAGTGGAGACAGCCGATTTGGTGCACGTAGCTACTGGAGCGAGCGGCCCCAATGGCCCGCCCTCATCTGGTGCACCGAAACGGCGTCCTCTCGGTCCTCTCCGGGGATAGGGAGGGGCGGCGTGCTCCCATTGAGCGGCTTGACCAATAACTTGGACCAGTTGTCACGCCATTGATGAGAGGCAGCAAAATGGACCTCCCTGGTCAGCGAACGGGCGTTTGAGGGCAGGGTGGCCGCTTGTTCCGCTAGGTCGTCCGCGCTCTCATTCCCCTCGATACCGCAGTGGGCAGGAGCCCCTGCAATGTTTTAAGGACGCTCGGCGATGTTCAACAATGAACAAGGTCTTCCATGCCTATCTCCACACCGAGGTTTGAGGCCTCACCTGGGCGGCCGTTCCTCCGCTGAGTGGACTCAGGGCGGCTTGCTAGTTCGAGCACGCGATGATCAGGGTGGTGTTTCACCGGTGATAGCAGGACGGTGCTATTCCATTTCGCGAGCTGACGTCACACTTCTGGTAGTGTTGGAGCCTGGAGGAATAGGCTTGTTGACGTCTCCATGGAACCCCAATTTGACACGTGTAATAGCAGCGTGCTGCTATCAGCACGCTGCTAGCGTGCTGCTATCACCGGTGAAACACCACCCAGGGCGGGGACGTCTCGTCCCGAAAACTCTCCAGAGCCGCCCGCAGGGCAACTCTGCTGCTAGATTGACCAGTGGGCAGTGTGCCGACTAAATTCGGTGACCATCTTTCACCAAAAACTGTGGCTGCCCTGCGCCGAAAAATTCAGCCGCCGCCAAGTGCTGAATTTGGTGCATGCGAAGTTACGCCGAACGTGCGCTGAAATTTTCGGTGCAATTCTGCCACCAGGTACGCCAGCTGCAGACTATTCGGCATAGCGTGCATTTGTTGCCGTCTGGCCAATGCCGATCGTGCCCCCCCCCCCCCCATCACCATTGCTTGGACTGGCTTTGATCTGCAGTGCTATCCAGTGTCCCGGTCACTCCCGTAGCTCAGCGGGTCCCATAGCTCAGCTGGTAGAGCGTTAGACTCCGCGTGGTGAGAGCACGCATTCCCGGTTATGACAGTCCGGGTTCGAAACACGACGGGTGCTTGACATTTATGTGCCTCCTGACAGGTATGGTTGCAGATGGTGGCAGGCCATAGCCAGACAAAGTCAGTGAGGGGTCCGACCGTGCGCAGCTATGTGCGCACATTAAACTTTGGACTCTAAATTCTGCCATAGAACTGGAATTGCGCAATCAGAGGGTAGAGGGCAGGGTCACTGCAGCATTCTTCGCTTAGCAGTGGCTCTGTCCTTGTGAATCCTTCCCATCAAAAGGCTCAGACTAAATTTATAAAAAAGTGTCAGTGAGGATGTGCCTTAATCTCTTTGAACACACTAATCGATTCAGCTGAATATCTGGCAACTGTTGAGTCCACAAATTATGAGGTCAGCACACTGGAATAATGCATTTTCAAATTTGAGTTGAAATTGAAATTAATATAGGACTGGAACCTAAAACTCCCTGGTCAAGTGACAAATAGATACCCCAAGTCGTGTCTGAAATTTGGTACCTGGCTAGGTAGCGCTACAAGCCATAGCACCCACGCTATCAACGAATAACTCTGTCATTCACTTGCCGCTAACCTAGGTAGTCCAATTTTCCCCTGACCTTGAATCATGTTTTGTGACCTAGTGACCTGACCTGAAAAGACTGAGACTTGAAATTTTCAGGATAGGTGCGAAAAGGTTGCCCCAGAGGCTATGCCCAATTTGGCGGTTCTATGCGCTGCCATTTCGGTATTTGTCAAGTTTAGGTCCTAACTACAATTGTGACGCTGATGATACAAATATGAAACAGCAAAAATTTTAGGTTTTAGGTTAGGTTAGGTTGTAGGTTTGTAGGTTTTAGGTTGTAGGTAGGTAGGTTTGTAGGTTAGGTTAGGTTAGGGTAGGTTTGTAGGTTGTAGGCAGGGGGGTACGCTCCGGCTGTTTAGCATTACGAAAAATGGTGACAGACGTTTGTGGAGGATTGTCGACGAACTCTTGTTCCGCGAGCAGTACTTACACGCTAGCGGAAAATTCACCAATCAGCGCTCGGCAGTACTCGACGCTGATTGGTCCGACGCTCGTGACGAAATTGCGGGGGACCGCAGTTATTCTCTATGGACCCGAATAGGCTTTTTGATTTCGGAGGAGTTTCTTTAAAATTATATGCTGTTTGGAGCTGTTTTCGAGTTGAAATATATTTCTTATGACTGTTAGCTATATAATGACACCATAAAATCATGATTTTAATAAATATTACCGATGTAATATCGGCCGAAAAGACATGCTGTCATGGCACGGACTGCCCTGCGGCTGATGTGGGGCCCCTAGTGCCAGCGTATGGTAATAATGGGTTGACGAAGGGTTATTGGAGAAACTTAGAGCCCCTTTAGCATTCAGTATAGGGTCATCAGAGGCCGGGAATGTCCATCAGGGGTCTGAGTAGGCCTGTCATAGGGGCATACATGACACATCATGGCCCATGGGTCAATGTAGATCCATTAGGGGCCGTTGAAGGGCCATCATTGTTCAGCGTGGGCTCGCAATTACCTCTGATGGGCATATGCCGTGCCCCGATGGACTAACGCTGGCCCCTGATGAACCATCACCAGCCCCTGATAGGTCTACAAAGCCCTCTGCTGGGTCCAAATTGGTCACTGATATGCCCAAATGGGCCACTGAGATACCCGTACAACATCGGGCACATCCCCTGACTGCACCTGCTGGACCAATGCCGTCCCCTCATGGGCCCACCACAGCTCTTGAATGACCTTTTCAAGTCCCCTGAAGTGCCTTTATTGGCCTAAATGGCCCCTGATTGACTGATGTGGTCCCTATTGGTCCTATATGGCCCCCATGAGCCCTCAACGTCGGCCTAGACAGCCTTACATTATATGCCACTGGGCCCTGTTGGGTCAGCACCGGCCCCCGATAGGCTTGCACACTGGACCCACCGGGCCTATACCGACCCATGAAGGGTCTATGTCGAACCCTCACGGACCTCCGATGACCACACGCCGACATGTGTGGCCCCATCAGCAGTGGTCCGTCTATCCCATGTACTTACGGTCTTTTTGGCCGATGTGACACCGGTAGTATATAGAATGTCATGATTAAATGTCGTTATTACACAGTCAAAAGTCACAGAAAGAATATCCAAGCTCAAAAATGGCCTCAAACCCAACAAAAACTGGTATAAATCCCCTTCAAAAGCCGTAAGTCTATTAAACGCCATAGGGGAATAGCTACAGTCCCCCGCAATTTCGTCACGAGCATCGGGCCAATCAGCGTCGAGTATTGCCGAACGCCGATTGGTCGATTTCCGCTAGCCTGTAAATGCTGCTTGCGGATATAGTTTTGAACAAGTGAGGGTCGCGGCTACTAATTATCGCTTGTCACCACTTTTTCGTCGGGAACGTTCTACCTGGTTTATATAGCCTTGGTTGTAGGTTGGTAGGTTATAGGTTGGTAGGTTATAGGTAAGTAAAGGTTAGGTCAGGTTTGATTATGTTTTTTCTTTTATTTGCGAGACATATGAGTATCATTTTTGGATTCAGGATGTCAAATAATGTAAAAATATGAAAAATTTATCAATGAAATCTTCTTAGGACTTAAACTTGACATTTACCGCCGTTTCTACGTTATTTGCGAAAAACCTGAGGGGGGTTGCATCAACGCCAGGCGAGGGTTATGGCTTGAAATTGTTAATTTTGTTAGATTTGGCACAACTCAAACTTACATATTTGAAATGATTTTCTATAGTTAGGTACCTAGTCCTACCTCACAGTTCAAAATACAGCGCGAGAACAGCAACACCGTATTCATTTGAGGATCATGTGCAGAAAATGTATCAGGAACTATAAGTAATAAAAGCAAAGTTTGCCTTGACCTTCCACAAACTGATTATTTTTTATGTTTTTATCATCAAATTGTTTACATAATCTCAGTTAGTCATTTTATCTGTGTTTTGTCAAGCATAAAATGTTATTTGAAGAGGGAAGCTGGAAAAAAACATAAAAAGGGCAGTCCTTACAATATAATTTCTAGCGATCTGATTGGTTGTTTGTCATTAGCATGGCAAACGGATTCCGTTGAATGCACAATTCTTTGGATGTCGTATATGGCGCATCACAGACATATCAATATGTTTGCGGAGATGGAAGAGTCAGAGTGGAGTGGAGAAGTGAAAGTGGGTGATTTATAGGTGATAGGTGAGAGGCATTTTACTTTATTTTGAGTGATTTTTAGTTGATCGATGCTAGCTGAAAGTAAGAATATTGAAGCTCCTAAACTCTCGCTCAATATTCATAGAATAAAATATATAGATGGCCTCGAAAATAAAAGTGCAGCGATCCCTATTCTGTTGCCAGTAGCCTGAGATTATGTGAAATGTGAATATGAACCTCTAAAAATAGCTCTGATGAACTAATGTCTCTTATGATTTGTCTTGATGGATGAATTGGGGGTTGTTTCCTCTGGTTCTAAATCCTAACAGCCATTGATTATGCTGAGCAGGGCTTACTGCGAGAGATAATACAGACATGGGCTGATCAGGTTCACTGCTTGTGCTGCTAAGTCAACTTCAAGATGATCTCTATCTGTTAGATCCTTAGATAGGCAAGCTGCACATTTCAATCATGTATTAATGTATTGAATGCTGGGCACACATCTGAAACAGAGACACACAGGTATATCAGCGTTATTTTACCCATTTGTAGGTCTTTGTAGCATCATCCATCACTATATAAATCATATGTAGTCTTTACATTCATTTTTCTTAGCTAAGGTCCTAAAAAAAATCAGAAGGTACCTACAGAGGTATTAGTATATAGGTTTGAACAGCCCTTCTATTGTTGAGCTGGTCAAACAATGTGCTCAGGCCTCAAAGGCTTAAGTCTTTTTGGAGTTGGACGTAGAGGACACTGGACAGCATTCTAAACATTGTAAAAAAATACATTGCCCAATTCTCCTTTGCTAAACAATTAATTTACAGCTATAATGTAGAATTCAATCAAACTACTTCTGTATATGTTTCAAGCTATACTTGCCCCCTTTTCTGCTTCAGGAGGCAGCTGCAGTCTGGCACTCTCAGTTGACCGCCGACTTCTGCTGTTGTAACGCGTCCGTTTGCGGTCCGTCCCCTGCTCTCTGCCGCACCGCCGACCGGCGTCCGTCGCCAGGCGACATGGAGCGCGTGGCGGCGCTGTGCGGCCGCGCCGCGGGCATCCTGACCGCAGCCATCAAGTACGGCTGCATCGTGCACTGTTCCACCGAGTACGTGGCCGACGTGGTCATCTGCACCGGGCCCAGCATGGAGCCCACCATCTACTCGCACGACGTGATCGTCACAGAGAAGATCAGCCCGCTCCGACAGCGGATCGCCGCCGGCGACATTGTCGTGGTGCGCTCACCGTCCGCTCCCCGTAACAATATCTGTAAACGCGTGACAGCCGTGGCGGGTGAACGCGCCGGTGCACGAGGCGTGCTCGTCCCGCGTGGCCACCTGTGGCTCGAGGGGGACAACGCGGCCAACTCCAACGACTCGCGCAACTTCGGCGCCGTGCCGGCCGGCCTGGTGCGCGGCCGGGCGGTGCTCAAACTGTGGCCGCCCGCCGACGCCGGCTGGTTTGACTCGCGTGGCTGGCGGCGGCAGCACGGCAGGGAGGAGCGCCAGCGCTGGTGAGGACGGTGTAGGTGCTGGATAGGTCGGACTCGGTGGCAATGTGCTGTGATGGAGGCAGGCGCCGCAGTGGGGAGCGCCGCCTGTGACCGAAAGTCCGCAGGACCAGCTTGGACTGCTGGACGATGTGGCGGTTCGCCAGAGGCAGGTGCCAACAAATGACTCCCACCCTACTGGACGGAGCGTCATCGCTTCGGTCGACATCTAGGTAGGAATTGTTTGACAACAGCTATGGGCGATTCGGTCAGTCACCTCGAACGGACTTGTTGGATGTAGTCATATTAGCCGTGTTACCCTCATTTTTCATCATGTGTGTTATCAGTAAGTAGTATTTAAATCAGATTTTGACTCAGGACGGCGTTGTTGGACATTTAGTCATCATTTTCACACGTCGGAGCCATGAACGATAGCACCAAATGTTCTCACACAGTGTGTCACCAAGTCTTGAGTCCTCCGTTTACGCCCTCCGTTTACGTTGCGGATTGTTTGCAATGCGGATGAATCCACCAGCAATACAATATACATACTCATGTGCAAACTGCTTGTCACTTAGTGAGGCCGTGTGGTCCCATGCATCGCTAGAGCGCTGCTCTTTCCAGTTTCGCTTTTAACCCGCATCTAACATGGATAAGTTTATTATTGTTTGAACTTTTTTTCGGTTCCTTCGCAATTCGCTTATATGTTTCGCCGTCACTTGGCATCATTACCTTTCATCACCCACTCCACCTTGTCAGTACGCTCCAGGCAAAACACCATTTCGGGCTTTAAATATATAATTTCTTTCTGTTTAAAAAAATACCTGCTTGTACAAGATATAATACAGAAATGAGCACTACACCTAGGTAGGCTAATATTGCTCCATATCTATCACAACGTGAGTCTCGTGCCTACCACACAAAGGTACGCGTTACCCTCTAGGGCTACCGGTCTGCAGGCGGGGAGAGGCGCCCCAGGCATGCGAACCTCTGGTGGCGGGCGGGCGGGGCGGGGCGGCTGGTGTGCGCGCGCGACTTGAGCGGCTGGAGGGGAGGGGAGGAGAGAGCAGAGAGAGAGAGAGAGAGGAGAGAGCGGCCCACGGCGGCTGGCGGAGCGGCACTGAAGCGGGCCCGACGAGCCTTGTCTATGGCTAGGGCGACACGAAGAAGCGACTGTCGAGTGGGAGAACACCCGCGCAGCCAGCCGACAGCCGCACACAAGCCAGGGAGATCGACACACTCCGCTACGTAGCCTCAGAAACAGTGTGATCGTGTGGGTGAGCTATGCGAACCAAACTTCAATGAGCACTACAAGAGATACATGGAGAGCGGGAGATTCTCCAGAACGGCTAAAACTTTTCATCGAAGTGGCTAAGCATAGCTCCAGTGAAGCCTCCCCTTAGCGAAGTTCATTGCCGCTGCCACTGCCCGCGCTCCTACCCTTTGGCGGCGCGTGTTGGGGGGCACACACCCGGGGCCATCGCAGGGCCCCGTCCGGGTCAAGGTCACTAGCCGAGGTCATGTCACGTCACAGGGGGCACGGGGCCGCCCGAAGGCGCGCCGAAAGGTCGCTCCGGCCTAACATCCCGGGAGTCGCATTACTCTCACTGTAAATCACTACTATCGGTCACTGACTGGGCTGCTAGAGCACTACGAAACCCTTTGATTCAATCGGCGGTAAAACTTCAAGCGGCGACTATTTACCACGTACGTGTGAGTTTTTCAGGCCCTCGTGGTCTGGGCACGTCATTTGTAAGCATTCGGGAAATAAACGCCCTAGATGAGCTCCACCGCACAGGAATACGTTTTCCACGAACTTGAACCTTGTCTCGCCACCCCTGGATCGCACGTAGCAACTCATCGCCGCCAGCAGCGCCCCTTATGTACAGATCAGCGGCCAGTTATCCCACAGGCCCGTTCACATGCTATGTCACCGCGCAGCATCACACGGCGGTTGGCAGACATCCCTCGCACAGCCACCAGCATCCACGCAGGTGGCGACATCCTTACTGCAGGTGGCGCCACCGACACCCGGCTCAGCGCAGCTAGGTGGCTCGGCAGGCGACTACGCTAATCGCGCGCGGCACGTTATGGGACGGTACTATCGGATCGGGCCTAGGGTCGCTCGTGTTCTCGCCTGTAGCTCCTCAGTCACCCTCGGGGCGGCCGACGCGGTTTGTGGCCGGCACCCCGCACACAGCTCCAACAACAATAATATCACTCTCTCGCGCGACCTGCAGTGTTTTCATGGACCAGGCACTTTCTACCGCCGGCAGGTGGCGTGGCGCGGCCGGGAGTGGCGGCCGGCCGTCCCCCACAGCGCCCTCCTACCCGCTCCGGCAGCAAGCGCTATGTAAAACCTTACAAAATCAACAACACCAGCGACCGGGCCGGCCAGCAGCGACGGCGACCGAGCCAACCAGCCGGCGCGCGGCCCGCACATCACTCAGCCGGGCCCGACCTCTGACTTGAAGATGATGTCGGACTTGTGAAAGGAGGGACGGTGCCCGGTGCGCCGACACGCCTCCTCGGCTCTCGCGAAGTTGTTCTCCGATTTTGGCCGCGGCAGCCGGGCGAGCGCCCGCCCGATGGAGAGGTGGTGGAGGCTGATGCTGTTGTGGTGCGGCTCCGACTCCTCCTCGGAGCTGGGTCCCTCGGGCTCCTGGACGGCGATGGCGCTCACCAGCGCGTTCACCGTCCGACAGTCCGACTGCAGGTCCTCCCGGTTCGAGACGATGCTCGGGTTCTTGCCGATCTTATTTAGCCTGTGGAAAGACAAGGGTTTGTCAATATTATGGTGGCTAGTCTCTAAAGCTCCGGCGATTAGAAGTGGTTAGTGATACTGGATAATTCAAGGTGCAGACGACCAGAGGTTGGTGTTTTTATCGCGTTCTATTGTGTGTTTTCCGGGTGGAAGAAATTAATTTGATTACACCCGACTCACAACTGTCCGAGCAGAGTGAGTTACGTGAGACAGCGAAGAGAATCGGGCGCACAGTGTGCTTTAAATGGAGAAGACGAAGAAATAAGAGCACACAGATTGTTGGTCTCTGACGATTTAGTAGAGATGCTGAGACATAATTTGAAATGAAAAGAAGATTGAATAATGAAACGAGACTTTTATGAAAAGAACGATTCAATGGACAATATTGTTCAGTTTTGCTGGTCTTTTAATTAACGCCTCTAAATGCCTCTACGTTCCTACGTTTCTAGAATATCGTCCGCCGCTTTTGCTGGACTTACATAAGCGAGTTTTGACGGGAGGGAAACCTACCTCGTTCGGTAGGGTAGGATCACGACAGATGATGTGAAAGGGCTGAGACATTGAACTTAGCTGACAATCAGCGGTTCACCGCAGTGGCCTGTGGTAGAGACCGTGGAGAGTTAGGGCGCCCGGACTGCAGTGGTCATCGGCGAGACCGTCAAGGTGGGACGGGAATGTCCCGTTGGGACAGCCCGGCCTGCCCCTCAAAATGTCACCCCGGAGAGAGGATGTGTGGAATCCTATAAAGGATCTGACGCCCTCACCACGGGGTGGGCGTCAGCCTGGACAAGGTATAGTGTGGATGAGGATGAGGTTTGTTGACCTGGAGGAAAGCAAGGACGGATGGCTGTCGGCCGCCTGCGACCAGCCGTTCTACTGGTTCTGCTCGGCGGTGCAGTCTATCTGCAGGCGCTTCTACTAGTGCCATCTAGCGGCTGGATTTTCATCGAAAGCCGTACACATCAAGAATGACGACGCTGCATTGTTTTCATGCCTACTATGAGATGTTCCCTTTTTAGCGATTTTGATTGGGCATTTTTAAGACCATACCTACTGATAACCAAAGCTTGTCACATATTTTTAATCCCAAACAACCTGATCGGAATTCCGGGAAATTGACACATGTCAGATGTTTTCAACAATCTGGCATGTGCCTACGTCAGATTTTGTCACGTTCGAATCATGGCATTCCTCGCCGCGGCTTCCCAATGACAGCACCGTTTTACGACTTTAATGGGTTATTATAAGATAAATTACTGTATTCATAATAGTAATAACTAATAAGTGGGTAATTGCTTCACAAATATTTCAAATGTAAATTGGCATGATCTGGCTATACCTATACGAAGATTATTCATGTATTCATTCACAGGACTGATAATACTTGAAATCAAAGCCTTTGGGCACGTCAAAACCAGTGCAGATGAGATAAATGATCCGCTGAGCGGAGCACGCGTTTCCCCTTAATGTAAGAGAGCTCAAGCAGAAATGATAACGGTAGCACCGGAACCCATATCACCTTAATAATTCTACCAGAAAAGCCCTCACAAACAGCTGTGTCATTTATCACCAAAACGGTGCTCTTTTTCGGTCACATCCTACCGTCTCTGAGCCTGGCAGCTTCTTGAGAAATGACATAATTCTTTCGAAAAAAAAGAATGAGCTTTATGCAGCGAATTTCATACTTCCATCAGCTTTCTTTACGGGGCATGGTAAAACGTAAACTTAACGTATTTAGATACTTGTAATAGGCAGTGCTCTGTAACCAATGACTTATCCTGGAAACTATGCATGGGAACTATGGGACTGGAAAAGATGTGACGGAAATTGTGTGATAGAATGGTGCAATGGAATGGTCTCATGGAAACGACATTTTTTTTATTCTCATTAGTGGGTATCTTAACCCTATTAGTGGCAGGGGGGGTTGTTTTTATCCACCCCTCAGGTTTTTCGGGAATATCTCCGAAACCGCTGAAGCTACGATGCTGAAAGTTTCTGACTTTTCCTAAAACTAAATTGGGCTTATTCCCTGAAAATTTCAAGTTCATAACTTTACCAGGGGCGGCTCCAGAGCACTGGGAATTGGGGGTCCTATTCGTGAAGCGAGTCATTTGGGCGAAGATCACGATGCTGCACCAGTTTTACGAACAGTGAATGAAAGGTATCATGTGATAACATATACAGTTATTGTGCATCCTCTTTTGACACGTTTTTGCTATAATAGGCGGATCCAGGCGTCCAAAAAGGGGGGTTATGTTTTACCTCCCAACATAGGTGCCCTGACACCGCCTATGCATGACCAATACAATTGTAGCCGTTCTCTCATAAGAAAATTGTAACATAACAAGACCATTACCACCCTTTTTAGAAACAGTACCAACAAAAACCTTATTTACTATACTTTTTGTGTACCCCCAATCTCAATGATCTGTATCCGCCTATGAATTTTGAAAATGCATATTTTTAGGATCCATGTGAATTCCTGGTTCATTCTCTATCGATCGGCAAAAGTTGCGTTAGGATTGGTTCAGAAACCTGGCCGTGATAAACAGTCTAAAATGTATCTGCAATTTGCCCGTTTTTACCCCCCTCTACCCCCCCCCCCCCCCTGTTGACATTTTTTAATTTTTATTTTTTAGAAATGTAGATCACGTTGAGCGAAATCGAATGCCGTTTGAATTTTGAAAATCGGCCCGTTAGATCTCGAGATATCAAGGGGGGGGGGTCGTAAACAGCCCCCCTGCCACTAATAGGGGTATACCAGGAGCCTGCCACTAATAGGGTTAACGTTCTTTCTAATCAATTATAAGATCACGTAAAGTTGTCCCGGCTGGTGATCAGCCAAATTGGATGTTCTCTCTTGCATATAATTAAAAAGGTCGACGGCTGCATCGATTGTGTTGTAGAATTACAAAATTACGATTGCCAAACTTTCGTATATAAATTGGTTCGTTATTCATGGATTTTCACCGTTCCGTGCTTCTATCCTCAGGATACTGAAATCCTTCTCCTCCACCCCGCAACCCCTCTCCGGGCTGGACAGGCATCTTTATCTCATGCGGGCTGCTCCCTTGGAGCGGCACCGCTGCTCCTGAGGGAGCGCACCCCGTAGCCGGGTGCAGTGAGTGCCTTGGGGCTGGGTGGCCTGTCCTCTGGACGGGCTCAGCCCCGGCGACTCACTAGGGTGCCTGCCCAGACCAATGTCTCCCCCTAATTCCTATCATCCTTCCGGCTCTGCAATGGTCTTGTCGACCGAAAGGGCCTAACCCAACAAAACAAAACAAAACAAACAAAACAAACAATGAATTTTACCAGACTTTGTTCGGACTGAGTAACGACAACATCCGGTCAGGTCAGACCTGGTGAGAAGTTGAAGGGTAGGCTTCAGGTCAGGTCAGGTAAGCCATCAAGTTCGTTCATTTCTCACCTTTCGGCAGCTACGCTCTCCATGGTGCGTCGCATCAGCGGATAGCTGTCGAGCACGGCGTTGAAGTGCTCCACGGACAGGGAGAAGAGGTTGCAGTACGTCTCGGCCCTGACGCTGGCCACGCGGCGCGCGTTGGTCAGCAGGCAGATCTCGCCAAAGTAGGAGCCGTCGCTGAGGGAGGTGGCCACCTCACCGTTGATGGTGATGTCCACTATCCCCTCCTGGATGAAGTACATCTTGTTGCCGATGGTGCCCTCCTTGATGATGATGTCACCTGAAGAGGGTCGGCGCAGAGGTGAGATGGAGCGCGTTTCTAGATGATAGTCTTACCAAGGTCATTCGGGTAACTCTTCCGTCCAGCTTGAACCGTTTAATTGCATTGTCGAAATAGCTGCATGAAGTAGAATGGACAGCAAGTACGTATAATTCGTTTGATCCTTTGTTTCCATTGCTAGGTGTTTCTTTCAGGCTAAAATCCTTTACTTTTATGTTAAACTCATCACGAGTTATACACTACGACCCATCATCTGGTTCCCTCAAAGCAACAGGCCACTGATGGGACCCGCCTCGCCCGAAGACAAGGAAAACGTGCTAATTACAAGCGGGAGAAATGCCTACTCGTCTAAAATGCATCCCTGGACAGCAACAGGCGCAACATAATGTGCTGGTCACAATAGTGAACATGGGCTTCATATCATTGACAGTAGAGGCATTCATAAACGAGCAATTATCATTTTTTCCGTTCATGGGCAATCATGCCTTTATGTCGTGCACGTGCATCGAAGTAAAGTTAACTGGCATGCCGATTAACTCCAAAAACGTCTGCATACGATGTAATCGACAAACTGCATTGCATCAATGCAATGCATCATCTGGCTTTATCAACTAGCTTCTCAAAGCTGAGTGATGGAGTTAAAATTGTACACTGAAACATACCGTTCAACAAGGCCTGGAGCCACAGCAAAATTACATTGCATCCTTGTATACAATTGTTACTATGGAAACAGAACGACTTTGGAGACCGTCACACACAGCGTGCAGTTGATATTGAGCATGCGGATTCACCGTAATCTGACTGAGCATGTGCACCTGCAATGGACACACGCTTCAAGAAATCAGGCCCAATGCAGTGAGCTGGACAGTGCAAACCCCATGCATCTATGCGTCACCTACATAGTACATATGCTTTCATCTTTGTCATCTCAATCAATACTGATATGGCCTTCACCTACTGAGGTGAGAGCAATAAAAAGCTGTTGATAGCTCGTTCATTTCGCAGTTCCCTCATGCCATTATCCGAATTCAGAGTATGCTTCACTCAGGTAAGCTAGCGATGAGTTATTGCTAGATTTTAATGACTCTTCCAACTATTAGTTGATCTGGTACGATGTCCATCAGGGGGCGAGAGGGCGGTAAAACTTAACATATAAATGAAACCACACGAAAGCCAAAAATCGAGCGAAATTCTTTCGATGCCTCATTTTCCCTTTTCTTGTCGCTTTATTTGTACACCTCACCCTTACGCTAGGGAAGAACGATGCTTACTTAGTAACAAGTCTTGTTCCCACAATTACTTTCTTTATCCTACAATAACATTACTTCAATGGATGCTAAGAATATCACCTTTGTAATCCCCGACAGAAAATCAGTTTAGGGCATAATTCATTTGCCACCTAGAACCGTAAGTCTATCTCAAAATTTTGATACGCTACGTTTGTTCAGACAGTGGGCTGCTGGCTTCGGTTTTATATACGGCCTGGCAGTGACATATCGCGCAGTCATCAGACATCTGGCTATATATTAAAGCCTTATATATTTTCCGCGCAAAGCGTTCCACCAGTAAAACTGTCCCATTAACCGCGAAATATGTCCTACCTTCCGCTGTAATATAGCCCAAGGTTCAGAGTTATTCAGTCGTTGGTGTATCTAGTGTTCAGCTGCTGAGCTGACCCGTGTGTACCGATCTGAAAATTCGTAACCTGTCCGGAGTTTTACCAAACTTTAAGCGTCAAATATGACTTTAAAACAAATTCGAGATTTGGCATACTAATAAAGTACTTACATTAACCCGACAATTAGACGAAAAACATCTACCGAAACCCAGCACGGCAAATGCGGTGCCCATTCCTCTGACGCCCAACTTCACCGAACCTTCTACACGGCTTTCTCTGTACACCAGCGTCCTCCTCTTATCTACAGCACCCACAGCCACCCACCAAGATGGACGTGGCGCGCCGGGCGCCAATTCGTTCCGAGCCATGCTTCGGCGCGTTTGCTGGCCGACTACTCTAGACAAGACACACACGGCGCGCGGGCCCACACCAGCGGCCCGCGGGCCGGCCGCTAGTCGACCAGTCTCGAACGGCTACCAAGCGGTTAGCAGTCGGCCCCGCAGCCAAACAAGCCGCTCTGACCTGGCTGGAACACTTCGTACGCCAGCTTGGTCACCACGTCAGTGACAAACTGCGGGTCGGCGTTGGCAAAGAAGGGCACCGACGCGACCAGCGCTCGACAGTTATAGTTGATGACATCCTGGCCGAAGGAGAGGGCGTTAAACATGGCGCTGAGAGAGGTGCTGGAGCTGGGAGGATTCGGGCCAGGGATGCGGCTGCCGGGTATACCGTGGTGTCAGAAACTTACCATTCTAAAATCATGGCTTCGGAGTACAACTGTGCAAAGGTTGTGAATATATATTCCCGACCGGGGCTGGGAAAATGCGTTTTATTCACCGAGGTTTTTGTGCGGAGGACCGAGTGCCGGTAGGCACGAGGTCCGTAGCCAAAAACCGAGGTGAATAAAACTGCATTTTCACAGCCCAAGGTTGGGAAGAGATTTACCACATGCCGTAACCACATGAATCAAACGAGTCTTGGATCCCAGTTGGAACAATATCAAATGTTTCATTGTGGCTCGTTAAGATGCTTTGCGCATTTTAAGTGTTCGTTTTTTGCGTGCATTATGTTGTGATAATGACTATTCTGACCATGTTCTGCAGCAATAAATAAATTGGCATTGGAACGATACCCTTGTTTATAGTTGAAGTACGTTGACAGCAAAAGTAAGTAAACACGCAGTCACTTACTTTTGCTGATGCTGTTAGTGAACACACAATTCGTAAATATCTTCTTTGGAATTGGTTCTTCCGCTCAGAATATTCAGTAAAACTTTGTCTGGGAAAATCAAAAAGCCCTAGGGCCAAATCGTTTCCCAAATACCTTCAACATTAGCCGAGGCGGGCCGAAGTCATTTCCCAAATGCACGTGCTAATGTTAAAGGGATATCTCGGCATGTGGTAAAGGATAAGAAGATATGGATGTATTGCTTTGACGGACATCATTCATAAATCCATTTAAATAATTTGTTCAATTGAATAGTAAAATAGTTGAATTTGATGAAAAAATTGTAACGTTTTAAAAGTAAAATGGACGGGATAGGAAAGGTGACTGAAATGCTCAGAGCCTGAGAAACGTTTCTTGCTTGGTAGTTTCATCCTGAAAGCAACCAGCTACCTCCTCGTTTCCTAGACTCCCCTTCCTATGCTGTGTGCTGATATCACTGAACAACATTCAAAAACCACAATCTTCAAACACAAAGAACAATTGGTGTGCGGGCTGCGCGGCGTCAGGCCTAATGGGGCCGGGTCCCGTGTCAATCGGTGGCGAGGGTGGGCGGAGGGAGCTGCAGAAAAGTACACCAGGGTACAGTCAGCCGGTTCACGGGGGCGGGTGACAGGGGTACGACGAAAGCGGTGTCCGGAGAGAGCGACCCGCCGCGGCCGACGGCAACTCGTGGTGCTGGCAGCATGCTGAGTCGGCCGGGCCGTCGCACGGTCTTGCCGAATACCAGATTAGCGCGAATTTAATCAAAAACCCGACTTTCGATAAACTGTTATTTATACCTATCAGTGGGTAGGAAATTGTCTGAAGTTATCTGATAGAACCTTATTTTTAAGCCACTTTACCATTTGAGGACTTATATCCCTGCCGAAAGTAGACCCACGCTCCGGTTCCTAAAATCGGGCTATGGTATTGATAAATATGTCCAGTTTTCAACGTAAATTTTACGGAAGTTTCGAGAAGATATATGAGAAAATAGCATATCACCGGATAGCACAATTCATGATGAAGCTGTTTCTGCTATCATGGTAGCTTTTCAATGAATGGTTTTTGAGTTTAATGAGTTAGAACAAGAGCCCTGCATGTGTATCGTTCTCACGATAGTATTTAATAAAGAAGTTGACAAATGTCAAAATGGATAAAAATGGATATGACGAATAGGGCATGGCTGAACTCTCCGCACCTTTCTGAACATAAGCGAGCAAGTTTCAGCTGCCAGTTTTTGCCTATTTGCCGTCAACTCAGCTTTGAACATGTCTAGTCGGCCGCCCTATGTGACCTGACCAAGGTCGGGGGCGGCGCGGCCGGACAGGCTCCAGCCTAATAAACTATCTCAAGCACACGAAATCGTGATTTCATGCACTCCTTGCAAGGTCCGATGCTTCACCTATGCATTGTTGGTCTTACGTGACGTCATTTATGACGTCACTAGGGTAATAAGAGTTTTTCGTCAATAACTCCCGATTAAATTGAGCTAGCGAGTCGAGAAAGCCACCAATGGACTCAGGAAGACTTGCTGAATCGAATGATATGCAACATGACCTCCTTCAACCAACTTCGTGATCTGGAGGACTCTGACCTGACCTTGACCCACGGTCAACACCTTAAGTTAACTTCAGCCGAACAAAAAGTATACCATTCGACGCGCCTGAGTGAGGCGAACATGATGATGCCAAAATTGCGGCTCTGCGGCATTTTTTTCGCGAAGTTATTAATAAAAAATGAATCCGCGCCTGGGTCACTTGACCTGACCTCAGAGGTCACAGGTTGGCCTAAGACCTTAAAATCGGATACCAGTCGCTGCGTCTCGTAACGGCGCACACGCTCGTTTTTTCCGCGGGGCTCTAGCTCCATCAGGGGCGAAACAGCGACGGGGGTCGTACCAACCCCCCCCCCCCCTTCGGCCGGCGCGTATTTTGAAAACCAATAAGTCCGGCGAGGGGTAAGTGTCAGTTTTGGAACCAGAGAACCATTTTCAGTGGATCCGAGCAGCGCTGGGATTAAATTCGCGCTAAACTGGTGTTCGGCCACACTGTGCGTCGAGCGGGGGCGCAGATAGATAGAGAGAGGGGCGCGGGACTGGCGTGCGCGTCGGTGGCGGGCGCGCACCTGGCTGGAACACCTCGTATTTCAGCTTAGTCACCACCTCGGCCACAAAGGTCTGGTGCGCGTTCATGAAGAACGGTACGGATTCCACCAGGTTTCGGCAGTTGTGGAAGCATACCTCCTGGGCGCGGCACACGGGTGGTGATTGGTTAGTCGGAAGGGCTGCAGCGGCACCGCCCCGCTATTTTCTGTGTGGATGAAATAATCAATAAGGCGTGGTCTTCTTGTCCGCTGTGGTCTTTGTCTTGCAATTTACAAAGTAATTGTTGCAGCAAGTCGTCTTGCCAATTAGAGCAAGAATTTCTTTCCTGACCATTGGCGTAGTGCAAATCTAGATACTGCTTGATGTATGGAATGCATGGATATAAATTGAACATCTTTTTACAATCACTATAACCATGAACATTAACAACAAAAGTATGATACCTATCTTAAGACTTCATAGCTTGTATTTTAGTTTATTATACCTATAATTTATGCCTACACCTATTGTAACCGATCAAAAGTATATCTTTAAATGACTACTGTACGATTACAGTTGCCTAGTGACCAATTGACTGATAACGAAGTGGAGCAGGGAAAGCCGAAAATGCTTGGTGTTGTCTTGATAGCGGCATAATTCAGCAAACATGCTAAAGAATTAGGCAGTGAAATTTGTGATGTCCACAAGACATGGGAGGATGGTGTCAGGAGGAAGGACGAATTTCAGCAGTCATAAGATGAACATTTTGGAGAGATACCTAAGACTGACAGTTATAGCTCAACCCTGTTTCAAAAAATGTTCCCTCTAACAGTGCTAGATAGGTATTTAGTACCAAATGTGCATATGTAGTCATGAAAAAATAAAGAATATAATTAAAACGATTTGAAGCTTATCGTCAATTTAGATCAGGGTTTCCTTAAAGTTACACAAAGACACGATCTGCCCGATAGCCACTCAGCTTCTTCCTGGAAGAGCGAAAACGTACTGCAAAACGAAAATGGCACAATTCATACGAAACGTACCACACTCAGTACGAACAAATAAGAGAGCGAGATAGTAGAAACGAGATTATACATGGAAACGGCCGGACCAAAGATTAGATACAGCAGTAGGAACTACTCAACGTTACACATCTATAGAATCGAAGCGAAACGAATAAACGCCCATGGCTCTATCGCCAGTGGGAACTGAATGCTCTGGAGTTTCTGACTTACCTCTCGTAACCGCTCTGAGAGCTCCCCGAGAATCATGTCTTCGTCGAAGAACTTGCCCTGGTACCGGTGCTCAAAGTATTCGGCGATTCTCTGCCGAAGGTCGCGAGGCAGCTTGCGGTAGCCCATGTACTCCTCCACCTGTTTGACCTGCGGCGGGACACGGGACCGGTCTCAGAGGGCTGCTAGGGTCGCCGCCAGGTGGCAGGCCTGTCGCGGCCGGGGGCGCTCCTCCGGCAGGGCTGCCCCCCGCCGCGGCGGAGACAGCGCAGGGGGCCGGCCGGAACAGCGCCGAGACAGCGTCCCGACACACGGCGCCGTGCCAGCCGGAGACGCCAGTCAGCCGGCGCTAATGGCATTGTGGTGCCGATCGGCCAGCTATGCAGCCGGCCGCCGGCGAGTTATGTAGCTGAACCAAGCTCACAAAAGGCGACCGGCAGGCCAATTTTCACACTACATCGGCGCCACGTTTGACATGCGAACCGGAGACGGTCCCGCTGAGCTGATCCGGTGGCAAATGCCACCGTAACGCCAAGGCCTTAATCACCCGCGTCGGATGTCACTTTTTCTAGTGATGGTTCTCCGAGCGAATGCACATGTTGCAAACTTCCGGAATGGTTGTCATATCACAACTGATAGTAAGTGATCTCGGAGCAGTTCTTCAATAGGGAAAAGGAGAACGCCAAAAAGGTCGCTAAGGTTATGTTACACCAAAGACAGCGCTGGTTTGGGTGAGCATTAATCAGATTGCGCTTCAAGCCGGCATTGACAATAAATGAAAATCGTTTTAATGTCCTGCTGTCCTGAGAACTAAATACAATAGACCTCTGATAGATGGTTTATAGTTATGCTGCATATAAGTTACCTAATCTTATATGGCTAAGAAACTAAATAATTACCTACATACTTATTCTAAAAGCTCATAAACGTCCAGAATTGGCTAAGGATGGGTAGAGCACTACCATTTTGCTAAAAATCGCGACTAATCTAATTATGTGTTCACAATTTTCTCCATCGTGTTTTACTATCAATATCTACACTTCGTCTGTATACCACTTGAAAAAGTACAATGACATGAAATCAATACAAAAGTACACTTCACTTTTTACCTGAATTAAACAGTTTTTATTACTTCGCTTGTCGAACGTCAACCTCCACATATGCTGGCAGAATCCTCCTTGCTTATAATGGTGACTTAACAATACAAAACAAAACGACAACACATGTGTTATACATGTAGCATGTGAGTCAAAAGGCTTCTTCCGCAATCAAATAACCACAAAGCTAAAAATAGTTTGTACGGTCTATCTTACAGGCTCCTGGGCCACGTGCAACGCAAGGTAGGCGACGTTCGATAGAACGTAAAAAATAACGACGAAATTACTCCAATCATGTTTTAGGCCCGGTCAAATGTCAAGTCACAAGAAGCCATCAAAGGTCAAAGTTCACCAACTGCAACAATTTTAAGCAAATCGGCGCATACTTCGATATGAAATAGAGCTATAGCACCGCGAAAAGGGGCATTAGATAGTCCTTTTAACGCTCTATCTTAGCAACGCTGTCCAATTTGACCTCAGATCAACGGTTTAGCCTGCAGATCCCAGATGCGAAGGGCATACTCTGCCAAAATAGACGCATTTGCGGACTGTTTTTCTGCAATAACCTTTGAATCAAAATTCGCACGAAAAAAAGAAATTTAACGGCATCGTGTTCTCCTCTCCCAGACGCGTCGATTACGATGTAGTTTGACCTTAAGTCAAGTTAAAATTTGATCTCAGGTCAAGGTAATTACATAACCCATAAAGGTCGTGATGAACATCAGTAAATCCGTAGCGTTGACCCGAACTAAGACGTCCTCACTCCTCATCGCTCTAGCATGCCTACATAGCATGTATATCAAAAGTCATTGCCGAAAACTGCTGAAGACCTTTTGTGACCTGAGGTGACCTCAGGGGTATAAAGAGGGGTCACGGGTGCATTTTTTAATTTCAGTACTTTATTTTTCCCTGTTACCAGATGTTTCAGTGAGCGTAGTATAACGCTCGTCCAAAGGAAGCACAGTTAAATTGTATCCCAATGACATAATAGACAGATCCCAAAATTGACCTGACTATAAGTCACCGACATCAAAATTATGATTTGAAAGGTTTTACTTTTATATATATATTAGCTGTTTTCACGACGGCCTATCTGGCGAATGCAACCTAATTCTCACCAAATCTGCATCTTATATTTTTGTTAACAAATATCTTCATATATTAAATTCATTTCAGTGTTGTAATCGATGATTATGTCTGATGATATGACAAGGCAGGGATGCAAGCAATTAGTGAAACCCTAGCTGATAGCTACAGAAATACACTGGACCTAATTTGACCAAATCCTTACCGTATCTCATCTCACCTCATCTAATCTGCATCAAATGTGTACCAGATGGCCATGGTGAAAACGGCTATTATCACCCTTACCATTCTTTGAAAGTTAAAAATAAATCGGTCAGTCAGTGTACATACTTATTGCAAGCATTGGAACTTCCTTAGGAAAGGTCACTTGACGTGACCTGATGACGTGATCTTGAGCGACTTGGGTCTGAAATTTGTACAACATGTGTAATTGTGCATCAAAGATGCATCAGAAGTTGTGCAAAAAATGGCGGTGCTTCGCGCCGCTGTTTTTCAGATATTTGCGAAAACTGCAAGGGGGTGTTCAAACACCCGCGGCAGGGTACGGGCCAAATTCATTGCAATAAATCCAATTCCATACGCTACTATTTGTTGAGGCTTTTATCTTACACAGCTCTAGCAGTCGGCCATTCAGGTTTCTGTAGGAAGTTGGGGCAATGCCGGAGTTGGGGCAAAGCCGAAATTCGAGATATTTCTAAAACTGTCCGACATGGATGCCACGTCTCAGTGATGCTCTGAAGCTTAAGTGACTACAATTATCGCATGTTTGTTACGAGTCGTCATTTGGAATACTTCGGCTGTGAGGGCGCCAAAAGCGTTTTCAAGGTACGTTTCCCTTGTACTACATGCGCCTTTGAAGCTGCATTTCTTACTCATTATGCTACCGTTTGTCTGGCCAATTCGGTCAAGTAATCTTCAGCATGTCTTTGCATAAGTGTGCTGCCTATTTGAAATTTATACAGCACGTTTAAAAGTTATGGGCCTGCAAATGAAAGTATGGCTGGCTGGGGTAATGCCGAAAACGTGCAATTACGCACGTTAACCCGCGCGGGGCTGGGGTCTCCAGCCGAACGCGCGGGGCTGGGGGGGGGGGGTAAATTTTACCCCCCCCTGTTATCTCCCGAACTAATGGTCCGATTTGGAAAATTCAAACGCCAATCGAAAGCTCTCATCACGAACTACTAAAAACATGTACTTAATTTAAAGTTTGAGGTCAAGGTCAAGGTCAGGTCAAGGGTACAAATTGCAAGTTTCTACAGTATCGGCCTTGCACCGTAGTTGCCGAAGAATGGAGTCATGGACTGAGACTGATCGCCCAAAACGTGTTCTTAGGCTACCAAGACAATATTCGTTGCATACAATATCATTCAGAGGTCAAGGTAAAGGTCAGGTCAGGTCAGGTCAGGTCACCAAAAAACAAAATATAGAAAAGGGCATGTGCGACACATGTTTTATGGGTCTTTTTACTCATAGAATTCAATAGGCACACTCAATAAGTGATATGGACCACCTCTGGATGAATTTCAGGTCGAGGTCAGGTCAAGGTCAGGTCAAGTGAGGTCGAATTTTGAAGTTGGTTGTTAAGGCCTACAAAGGTGTCTATCTGATGCAGTTTTTCACGGCGAATCGAATGGTGCTATTTTTGTTTCCGTACGAGGTCTAGAACTTCCAAAAAAGTCATTTTTCAAAAAATTTTGTGTGTCGTGACGTCATAAAATTTTGAATAACTCCCACATTTTTGAACCGATTCTTCTAAAATTTGGTATGTAGGTGTACATAGACCGCTTCTCTGACATATATTCCGGTTTTTTCGATAGACTCAAAATTTTGGATTTTATAATGATTTTCCCAAAAAAGTCAGTTTTTTGAAAAAATTTAGGCCAAAATCCAAAATTTTCGAAAAACCGAGATAGCCATTTGATAGACAAAGTAAAATTACGTATAACCTTTTTGTTACGTCTTGATTCCTTTAAAAATGAAGATGTTAGCGGCGTTTGAACTTTTGCCGTTTTTGAGGCGAAAATGGCGAACATGACGTCACTAAAACTTCAATTTCTCAAAAATTTTCCGACGGATTTCGCTCAAATTTTCAGGGAACGTGTCAAATTGATGTAAGAAAAGGTACTGAAAGTTTGGCGGCGCTGCGCGCCGCCGTTTTTGAGATATCGCAAAAATTCGCGAGGGGGGGTAAAATTTACCCCCCCCCCCCCCAGCCCCGCGCGGGTTAAAGCACGCTACGTGGACTTTACTGCTGTAGAATAGCAACGCGTATTTTAAGTCAAACAAATTACACTTTCAGCCGGCACAACGGCCTGTTACCTATAAGGAATGATTTACCTGGCATTTTCTTATTATATCACACAATTATAACTTCCAGTGTGCACCAAGCGTCCTCAAGCTCTTAAAACGCGTGTCAGCTTTGATGAATTTTGGATAAAGTTTGAGATAAATTGGCAAAACATCAATGTCGGCATTCCTCGTAGATCATTTATCCCATTTTCGGCTTTCCCCGCAGTCCGGGGCAACGCCGAAAAAGTCAGTTCTTTGATATTTTTAGTTTTTGCGCTTAACGGTATGCGAATTCATCAAATGCGCTTGGCATGTTTGAAAGACAAAAGACTGGCCTCTCGAATGACGCCAACAAGAATAGCTTATGTTGTCTACCTTGCGTGCTACGGGCGTCAGAAAAAAAGTATTCGGCGTTCCCCCAACTTCCCCTATGCTTTGACACCTAAAAAAGGCTAAAGTACCTTGCGTCCCAATAATGACTGTAGATTGAATTGAATTTTATTTGATTTTAATTCAGCTTCATTTCATGGCTGATTTCGGTACACTACTTTGTCCCACGGCTTAACAATATCCAGTAAGAACCCAAGACCTCCGTGTGATAATTAATGAGCGTCGCTAATTACCAAAGTTTTGTTGTAAAAACAAACTTGGAGTGACGTATTCATTAGAACGGAATAA